CACACACAAAAGCAAAATGATGCAAGGAAATTTTTGGAGATGATGGATGTGTTTATTACCTTGACTGTGGTAATAGTATCATGGGTGTATGTACATCTCCAAACTCATCAAATCGTATACATTAAATATGTGGTTTTTCATATTTCAATCAAAATTGAAGAAAGCTATAAAAAATAAAACAAAGATGTATAGCTAATGAGGTGAGAAAGATGATAAAATGCAATAGTAAAAAATAATCCAAAACATTGCAAGAAGAGAGAGAGAAGGAACAAATAAAAGTGGAATAAGGGCCAGCCCAATGGTGCAGTGGTTAAGTCTGTGTGCTCCACTTTGGCGGCCTGGGTTTGCGTGTTCAGATCCTGAGCACAGACCTACACACCACTCATCAAGCCATGCTGTGGTGCTGTCCCACATACAACACAGAGGGAGATTGGCACAGATGTTAGCTCAGCAAAAATCTTCCTCAAGCAAAAAGAGGAAGATTGGCAATAGATATAGCTGAGGGCCAATCGTCCTCATAAAAAAAAACTGAAAAATAAAAACAAGTGGAACAAAAAGAAAAAAATCAGCAGAATAGTAATCTTCAACCCAACTATATCAATAATTACCTTAAATGTAAAAGGTTTAAACCATTACCTGGCAGAGATTGACCAACTAGATTAAACAAACAAGTAAGCCCCAATTATATGCTATCTAGTAGAAATCCATTTTAAATAAAAAACATTGATAGTCTAAAAGGACAAAAAAGATACCTTGTGCAAAAACTCATTAGTAAAAAAAACCAAGAAATGGTTACATTGATATTAGACAATGTAGACTTCAGAATAAAGAATATTATCAGAAATAGAGACACTTTATAGTGATAAAAGGGTCAATTCATAAAAAAACCCCAATAATGCTAAATGTGTGTTTACCTAATGACAGAGCTTCAAAATACACAAAGCAGTAACAGATATAACTGAAGATAGAAGAAGACAAACTCAGAAATATAGTTGTCAATTGAAGATAGAAAATCAGTAAGGACGTAGCAGAGTTGAACATCGTCAACCAACTTGACCATACTGACATTTTCGATATCCTCCACTCAACTCTGCAGAATACACCCTCTTCCAAGTGTACGTGGAACATTTATCATAATAGACCATATGCTGGGCCATAAAACCAGGTTTAACAGATTTGATGAATTTGAAATCAGAAAGAGGATGTTCTCTGACCATAACTGCATTAAATTAAAAAATCAATGATGGAGAAATATCTGGAAAATTCCCAATTATTTGGAAATTAAAGAACACAATTCAGAGTAACTCATGTCACAAAGAAAAAATCACAACAGATATCAGAAAATATTTTTAGCTGAATGATAATGAAAATGAAATGTATGCAAATTTGACCTTGGGGTAGGCAACAATTTTTTAGCTAGGACACAAAAAGTATTAACCAAAGAAGAAAAAAAAAAGGTGATAAATTTAAACAAACATGTTTGAGAGAGAGCAGAGGAGGCAGAATCTTGGAAGAGGAAGAAGAAAGATAAGTCAGCAGAGGAAGGTTGAGCACTAGGAGGGAACTTCTCAGAACTATCTAAGGATACGGGGGAGTGACAATTATCTGAAGATGCCAAATATCAAAACTAAGAAGTCAGGTAAAAGAGAAAGTAGAGAGGGCGACACAAGTAATGAAAGTCACTAAAATTAGTACTTGAAAGAGCAGGTGGGTAAGAACCAACTCAGTGCGTTTGGAAGAGATCATGACTTAGAACATTGGCCCCTACACTGGTCTGGGTATTTAACTTTGTACATTGGTGCTTGCAGATTAAATATTTTGGAATACATTCTTAATCTTTGTATGCTGTCCCCCATCCCCAAGAATGAATTGTAAAAACTATCTGTTCTGTTTCCAACTAAATCTAGAGAGGGCATGTATGTAGTAATTCTCTATCACTGAAGAGTTACAATAACCAAGCCCTTGTAGAAAGTGTCTCATTTCTTCATTTTGGCACATTAGAGCTATTTCCTAGATTGTATTGATGCCCCTGCTGATAAAAAAGGAGTCCAATTATTGAATTCATAAAACAATATTTTAGACATTTGAACACATCTGAACATTTTCAATAAAGCTTTAGCTCTTTCAACACAGAGATAGCCTGGACCTATTCTTTATCACTTCTTCTCTCTTCCAAGGGTCACTTCCAGTTTGTTTGTTTGTTTTGAGGAAGATTAGCCCTGAGCTAACATCTGCTGCCGATCCTCCTCTTTTTTGCTGAGGAAGACTTGCCCTGAGCTAACATCCCTGCCCATCTTCCTCTACTTTATATGTGGGACACCTGCCGTAGCATGGCTTGACAAGCGGTACATAGGTCTGCACCCGGGATCCGGGCCAGTGAACCCCAGGCCACCAAGCGGAAAGGGCGAACTTAATCACTGTGCCACTGGGCTGGCCCCCAAGGGTCACCTCTATGCTTGGAGTTCTAAAGATGAAAAGGTGAAGGGACAGGGGCTTCCCTTCTTTTTTGACTTCCTAGCGAACACTAAGGGTACTGACAGTCTGCAGCAGGACTAAGCTGTTTCCATGGCAGTCCGTAGCAATAACATGCATTTCAAATTTGTGACTGTGTCCCTATTTTACTCAGTATAGATTCTGATGTTACCTCTATGTGGAGGACCAGGAAATAGGCAGCTCCTCTAATACGGAGAGCCAGCCCCATATTTAGTTTCTGTGAGAGAAACTTTATCTTTTAAAGCAAACTCATTATCTCCACAGTGCCCCCACCTAATCCAAGCATGGAAATAGCAACCAACACTGACTGGAATTTAGCGTTGTACAGGTCCCCCAAAACACGAATAATGACATATCTGCTCTGTGGTGTCTGAAATCACAGCTCCAACAGCTAACAGCCTCTGCAGGAGAGTATGAGCGACTACTTGGAAAAAAGTCTTCCTTTTCCCTTTATTGTGTATAAACCAGCCTTCATTAGAATTCTTGGTACCAAGCATGAACTTGAGGTGAGGGAAGCTCTAAAACTGATTTCTTAATGACACCTCAGAGGCCCAGAAGCATTAATGCTGACTTCCTGAAGCATCTAATCTTTCCCAGGGAGAGGTTTTCCCTCCTGATGTAGTCCGGCTCATTACGACAACATTGGGTTGATGCCGTTATCTTTAAAACAACTCAGAATAATTCATACGCCCCAGCAATAGTCACGATGTAAGAATTTATAATAGTCACACGTGAAAAATAAACAGGTATTCCAAAGAGCACTAATTTACTTAAGGAATAATGCCAGAAACATTAAATGTGATAGTTTTGCTTTTAAATAAAGTGTGGTTAATTTGATTACTATTTATTTTGTTTTTTGCCAGATTTCAATCAATTTTTATGGCAGGATTAAGCTTCTAAGTAGAGTGTTGTTCTTTTTTTTTTTTTTTTTTGAATAATGGAAGCACTTTTCCAAACTTTACCATGGTTAACTAATGGGAGGTTAGTGCTGTACATTATGGATCTCTGTTTATCCTCAGACGTATTTATCCACAATGCATGCACATTCAGGTCTGGGTTAGAATAAGTAGGTATGTGTATTGCAGACTCTCATTAATTCATAACAGCTTAAATTGTGATTTTTATTTGGCATCCTACTGTGGAACCCAGTAGAGAATGCCGAACTGCTCAGCTAAACATTTTCAAATCCGTGACTCTCCATCTGGTTATTCAATCAGAACAAAATCCCCACAAAGAAAATCCTCTTCCTAAAATGCACCCCATTTTCCTGGCTAAGAATCATTCTGGAGAAACGTGAACAGTTCGCTTAGTTGTTCAAGGAGTTTATTTGCAGGAAAAACTAACACTATAAATATCAATAGCACTTAAAGGGAAGTGAAGAAAGAATTCGCTCATTCTGCAATAATGGTAGGCTTGTTAGAAATAACTGCACATAGAAAATGCAACTGTTGAATTTATTATTTTGGAGCATTCTTTGAAAACTTCAAGTTACCATAAAACAATCTCATATGATCCTACTGACATACAGGGAACAGCTACATTAATATCATCATGTTTTATAGAAAATTCAAGGTAATCGGTAATTTAGTACCTAACACCATTGCAAGGCCTCTATAAAAAATAAACTGGAAAAAAAATCTGCTCTAAGTAAGAAAACAAATACTGAGGTTCCTCGATAAAGGTAAACTACTCTACCTAGCCTGATGCCTGGGACACAGTGGTCTGTAATAAATATTTGTTAAATGAATACTGGAACATCCTACTCACAGTTCATGGGATTTTTTTCCTAACAAAAAGTTAAAGAATTAGAGTCCCACCTTAAGTGGCTTTTAACAGGGCTTTTACAGAGATATTCTATTTGGGTTAATAATATTTTTAATGTGTTTTTCATTGCTTTGGTTCATCGGCTATCCCTGACTTGGAGAAGAAGTGGAAAAGTAAACATCGTAATTTTTTTTTTTCTTCCTAAAAGATAAGTCCTGAGGGCTGGCCTGATGGGATAGTGGTTAAGTTCGTGCGCCCCGCTTCAGCAGCCTGAGGTTCACTGCTTTACATCCTTGGCGTTGACCTACACACTGCTCATCAAGCCATGCTGTGGCGGCGTCCCACATAGAAGAACTAGAAGGACTTACAATTAGGACATACGACTATGTACGGGGGCTTTGGGGAGGGAAAAAAAAAAGATGTTTGTTTCCAATTAGAGAATAGTAGATAAAAAGAAGATTTTTTTAGTGTGATAATGGAAAAGTGATAGGAATTGTATAGGTTTAGAAGTAGCAGGCTTGGCTATAAGGTTAGAATAAACATCACGTAAATATTGGATGTTAAAAAACATCATGTGTTTTTAAATAAAAAGTGTCTCTATAATTCGTTTACCCTTAGAATACAGAAAAAAATATTTAAGGAGAAAAGGTGAAAGTCACCTTGTTTCCCTTAAGAGGAACTGTGACAAAAGGTTGTAATATAGCTTTTCTCCAAGGTGGCTGACATCAATTGTTTGCTTCCAGGTACGTGCACCATTCCTCCACTGAGAGCTGCAGTCTATTCTCTCATGCTCTTGAAGCTGGGCTGGTCTATAACTGCTTTAATCGAGAGGATATGCCACCTTTGACTTCTAAGATTAGGTTACAAGAAGACTTGTAGCTTCCACCTGGTGTCTTGGGACACTCACTATGGGGGAAGCCAACCACCAGGTAAGAAGTCCAGCTACTCTGAGAAGGCCATGCTGTGAGGAACCCAAGACAGCCATGTGAAGGGGCCTCTTGAGAGAGAAATGTCCAACCAGTCATTACAGGCTGGCATCAGACGTGAGCGATAAGAAGCCTTCAGATGGCCCTAGGGTCACCTGCATCTAGCTGCACCCCCAGTGAGAAGTGTCTTGCTGAGCCTATCAGCCCCCAGAAACAGGAAACACATTCATAAATTGTTGTTTCATGCCACTAAGTTTTGGCAAGCTAAAGAACACCACACAAAATCAACATTAGTCAGGTTTTCAGAATAATGTTTAACATTCTTCTATTGATTAACGTTTTTAAAACCAGTGAGACTTTAGAATAATACAAGGTAGAAAACTGGCTAATGTTCACTATTTCACAAGTTGCTAATATCAGAAAACTGAGAGTGACCTTAAACTCTCCCCCTTTCTTTCGGTCCCCTCATCCAATCAATAACCAAGTTCTCTGCAGTCTACATTCTTAGTATCGCTTGATTCTATCTACTCCCCTCATCCACGTCGCCACTGCCTTACATCAAATGTGAACTTCCTGTTTAAATTACACAACTAGCATTCGTTCCTTCAGACCATCTAAACCTCCTTTCAAACCCCCACTCTATTATCTATAACCCAACCCTGTATCTATTCTTCCCCCCACTACCATAACAGTCTTTTCACAGTAAATTTGAGCTTCTTGTCTTTCTACCTAAAATCCTTCAATGACTCTCAATAATTGTTACACTGAAGGTTAAATTCCTCAATCTGACACACGAGGGCCTTCAGGACCTAGCATCCTCCTGCTGCTCCAGCCGCATCCACCACCATTCTCCTCCCTCTATGTCCACCTAACTTCTTGTAGCATCTGAGTGAGCCAGGTACCTCAGTAGCAGCTTTCCCAAACGCTCTGTGTTCCGCCTACAACACCCATCCCTCTGCTTTTTCATCTAACTCCTATTCATTTTTCAAAATGAAGCCAAAAATCTCCTCTTCTAGGAAGGCCTTCCTGAAGGGGTCCATCTAATTTTGACACCTCTCGTCTGGGCTCCATTGGACTCATTTGCTTTTCCACTTATTAGTTCAGTGCACCTTGAGTTAATTTCCTGCCTTCCTTATTTAAAGTAAGGGAGGCTGGGATCATGCCTGACAAATATTAGGCCTTCAATAAACATTCCTTGAAAGAATAAATGGATTATTGAAAGTCATGATATTTTCATTTATGCAGTGAAAAATCATAAATACCACTTCCAACTGTGAATAGGAAATTGTTTCTCTTAGGAGGGGCATGCAATTCAAATTAGAGGTGAATGAGAAGATTCTCAGAGGAGGTCACCTTAGCAAAGATGAGGATAGCTTGCCAGACAGAGTGGAGAGCAGGAAGTTCCTAGCAGAAAGAGAAGTCTTTGCAAAGGTGTAGAGGTGAGAGCAAAAGGAGAGAGTTCAGGAAGCATAAACAGATGAGTGTGGCAAATGCTCCACAAGCTGAAGAGCAGAAGGTGCGGTAGGTATGGTGTGCAGAAGCTGGAAGACGGGAGGCTCTGAGCAGGACATTATATTTTATTGTGCAGGCAATAGGGAACCATTAAAAGATTTTAAGCAGAAGAGAAACACTGGGGTCACATGTTAGAAATCTTTAGTGTGAAAAATTGATTAAAGGAGGAATAGAAAGCAGAGAGAAACAGTTAGGAGTCTAATGTAGTAATTCAGGTAAATTCAAAAGATGTGGAATTAGAATTGACAGGATTTGTTAACTGGACTTAAGGGAGGGGTGACTAGAATGTCTCTCAGAATTTTGCTCTGCATCCTTTTATGGATGTGATACCCAATTAAAATAAAGTTAAATTAATTTTCAAGGATTTTTGAGAATTTAATCATGTATTTTGAGCTAATTAGAGATGTTTTGTAAGACAAGGGGTGTGAAGTTTTGAAAGAGATGATTCTGATACTGGTGTCCATTCACTCCGAAATAGTCGTGAAATATGATTCTTTCAGATTAAGCCATTAGATTCTCTGTGTGATCCCAAAGAGCCATTTAATCTTTCTGCACCTCAGTCTTGCAAATTCTTCCATACGAATAAGAAAAAATGTATGCCTCCCAGGTAATTCAATGAAGCAATTCAAAACTCAAGTTGTCTGTATGGTAATTTCTGTTTCCTAAAGGCAAGATGAAATACAATCTCAATTTCTTCCTCTATTAAGAAAAATTTAAAAAGGAGAAGGCTTAAATGATTTCAAATGGCCCTTTCAGCTGTAAAGATCAATAACTCCATAAGTCAGAACCCTTGGTTGGAGATACAGGCTACCCAGATCAGTGGTTGATCCTCAACAAGAACCAAGGAATTTACAATGGAGGTAGGTTGTCCTACTTACGCGCTTCCTGCTGAGTGAAGTAGGACTTCCTTTTATTTGTCTTAATAGTCTTCAGTTCTTTATTGTGCTACTTTTTAACGAGGTGTTTTCAGTTGCTTAACAAGTATGTATTGAGTGTCTACTATGGGCCAGGCAACCACATTAGGGGTTAGAGAAACAAAATTAAATGTGACAGGCTCCCTTTTGTTGCATTTTTTAACTGTAAACCATCTTCAAATCAAAATACATCATCTTACACAGCAATATTTATCATGTACATGATCCTGCTCTAGGAGCCATGCCAGGCTAACCCATTAAACTTGATGGGCCTGAGAATAGTAAAACTATACATGGTATAACGTATTTAAAGTATAGAGCAAGGCAACAGAGTCCCTTGAGAAGGGAAGGCAGGAAACCTGAAAAATCATCATGAGTAAACTTGGAACTCACAGAACATTCACAAACTCCCTGACTACTTTGTGACTCCATTTACCTATAAAATGGAGATAATAAGCCTACTTCTAGTATTCCTCACAGGATATTATAAGGATTAAACAAGTAAAAGCACACTAAATACTTCGAGATTTAAAAAGAAGCACTAAATAAATATTAAGCATTGTTGTTTGGTAGCATCATATAAAGTCACATGAAAGTCAAAAGCCTACTGTAGTTATTCTAATGGAAGTTTAAATCCCAAGATGAAAGCAGGGTGAGTTGAACAACTAAAATCAGGACACACCCTTAATCGGATCTGGTTAGGAATTAACCTAGGAATTAGCTGCATGACTGAAAGATGGTTCCTCATACAGGACAGAACTTACAAGATGTCTAGTTTGTATCTATAAAGTTGGGAAGGTGAGCATGAGCCCCACCTTGGTCGACTACTCTTCAATTTTAAAAATGAATCTTCATCTGGTTGCAGCTTTCAGAAAGAAACTCCTAATTGGCGGGGATCATGCCTCCACTGCAGGTTATGTCACCAACTCTCCAGTGCCAAACCACGGACATTTCCACCCCAGGGTATTTGATGCAGGTCAGCTTCAACGGCAGAACCATTTGCTAATCTTGAGAGGTCAACTGTAATGAAATTCCTTTGTCTCTGTGCAAAAACTTTCCTTAGGTTTTGTTCAAACGTTCTGTTATAAAATATCCAGGCCCTCGAAGAAGATAATTTCTCATGAAATTTTTCTTGCTAACATACTCAAAGCTAATGCAGACACTAATGCCAAACAGAGAAACTAAATTAATAAACCTCTACCCAGCTCCCCATTAGAACTATCCCTAAGCTCAGCAAGAGCCATCAGGAAACTTTAGTCGCCTCCATGAGTCCCAGGATGGAAAGCTTCCTGATCAGGGAAATAACAGACTTAGCAATATCATCATATTTCTTTCTCTTTCTGCTTCTGCACTGTAGATAAGAGGATAAAACAGAGCAGAGTGGGGATTCCTTTTTCTTTTCACCTTACTCACCACACTCTCGCTTAGTTACAAAAGAGAGAATGAACAGTAGAGATGGTCCAGGAATTTAGCTCTATAAGGTCTTTGGTGCTAAATATGGCTGAAAGCTGAAAGCAAATCTTCAGAAACAGCTTTTGACTAACAAGCTAGCATTCAGGGAGTGTGGACAGAGGAAAGGGAGATTGGTTAGAAAATACCAAACTTCATCTAGATTTTTAAGTACCAAAATAGTGTTTTTAAAATCCATATTTGGTTAAATGCAAATGGTTTTTAAAAAGAGGCTTATTTGGATAACAAATGGAAATTACATTATTATTAAAGTTCTAGGACGTGAGTAGAGAAGTGCTGTCTGAATCTCAAGCAGAGCACATGCTTTTAATGTTGAGTGTGATCCAGGGGACCTCACACGCTTTTTTTGAAAGGGAACTAACTCTCTTTAGAAAGGTGAATCTGTAAAATTAAAGTATCTAAGCAAACGCAAGCCTACAAATTCTAGTAAGTTATACAACTTTCTGAGCAACACGTTCCAGAGTCTTAAAATTCTTAGACTAAATTCTCCCTTATGCCAAATCTGTACCTATCTTATCTTGGGAGATAAAAAAAAAATTAAAAGTATGGCATCCCTTGGGAATTAGCTCTTCATTTATATTAAACCTATAAATCACCAGACGCCAACCACTGACTGAAATTAATGATCCTAGTTCCTATGCCACTTCCAATTCTCTAGGACTTATGGAGTGAAAAGAAGGTGGTAGAAGTCTGCTTTTAGTTTATAAAATATAGTTGTTAAAATTCTCACTCTTGCTCTCTAATTAGATTTTGCACACATGCACACACACATACACACACAGAGTACAGGAGCTGAGATTTTGAAACTTTTTATATGCTTAGTATCTTTTATTCTCAAAACTTTGTTCAAGATACATTTATTAGCATTTTTTAAGCACCTATTTTGTTTTTTTAGGTACTATTTCCATCTTAGTAGCCTTGCTTTTTCACTTTTATGAGTTTCATTCCACAAGATACTTCAAACAACCTACCCACCAGGACCCCTGCCAAATAAATACATGAATAAATAAGTAAATATTCTGCAGCTAAAACCTCATGGTTCCTCATCTTTCTCCGGAGGGCTGTTACCAGGATGCTCAATAATCTTATCAGCATATTTTAAATGGGGAAAATAATTCAAGAGATCCCAGAAAGCTCTCAATCCTTTTTTTTTTTTTTTTTTTTTTGCCATATTTTGCCACTGCCACCGCAAACAACTGTTCAAGATCCTAAACCCTGGGGCTGGCGTAGATTTTCTAAGTGCCCACACAACAGTCAGAATGCTGTTCTGGCTAAGCCCCTTAATGTTCCACAGGAATCTCCTAATAGGATAATTTTGAATCATAATTAAATTTCTTCATCCCTCACATCTTTCCATTTCAACTTATCCCGGCATGGACCAAGCTGTGACCAGGCAGGGGACCAACCCAGAGCTTGACTTGAAAGGTCCTCTTGTTCCCCAACCCCAACTCTAATACGGTAACTGTTTTGAAAGAATTCTCTCACCTGGACCACATGAAACACAATGTCACGGCACACTATGATTTCTCTTTCTAAGTTAGCCCTGAGAACTAAATTATTTTTTAGGAGAAAACAGGTTCATACGGGAGCCACCTGATAGCTACATTCATCATGACTTTGTAGTGGAATTGATCCACATTATTTCATTACTGTCATTGTTTAACATCTGATTGACTAGATGGTTTAACTCCAAGTCTTGCTGGCTGCCATCTCCTCGAACGTATCAGACCATAGCATATTCGAAACAAAATAAATCCTGTTTGCAAATCTAGCAAAGAAACCCAGAAGTGGGGGTGGGGCCCCCTTCAAGCACTGTCGTGATAAATGTTGTTTATATCTAATTCTGAGATTCTGCCAAAAGAAATGTATGTACAGTCACAGATTTTTCATCTTCTCTATTTTAAATTTCAGTGTCTGTAAATTAACATATTTTTAATGTATTTGGATCCTCTATTTTAAAAAGGGTCCTGTTATAGAGTCCTAAAAGTTTAAACAGTAGAATTCTGTGTGGTTTGGATGCCAAGGAAGAAACGATCTGTTATTCTGGGGTAAGTTATTCCACATTTCCTTCAGCTACTGGGCCTGGGTTTTTACCTATCAGTACCATCAGTTTTGCGAACCTCAGGCCAACAATCACACAAGTTGAGAGAACCCCGGCAGGGGAAATCAATCCTCATCAGGCCAAAGAAACTCGCATCTGCGTTTCTTCCAAGCTGAATCACAAACAGTGCACACCCGTCATGATCCCTCTTCAAATAATTTCTTCATTTACCTGTGTGGCGCTTCCTGAAAGGAAGGAATGGGCTTGACGGGATGAGCTATTATCTCACCAGGATTTGTGAAGGACCCAAACAGACTGGAATGCTTTTCATGAGCCCCCTCCCACATCCCCTCTCCGTGTCCCGTTCCCTGGCCACCATTTGCACTGTTTGCCTTTTCTCAGTTTCTGTGCTGCTCAAGGCAGACAGATAAGCTCTTTAAATGATTACTACCACCTTGCATCAGCTTTCAAAGCCCCTGACAATTTTTCCATGTTTGGTAACTGATTGGTGATAAAAGTGTTGACAATGTAAAGCGATAACTAAATCACAGACCAGAACTTCTCCGAAAAAATGGAAATCCCCCAAAGGCTCTCTGGGAACCTCTTCCTAAGCATTTCAGCCACAGATCTGTCCAAAGCGGTGTGAACTGCAAGGCAAGATCTATTTCACTGTTGTTTAATCAGCAGGAGTAGCAAGAACAGTACTATAGGTGTACATACTAGGGGACTCTTTCGGTTTCAATATGACAGTTTTAAAATGAATTTTATTTTTTTCACTTTCTCCTTTCAGATTATCTGAAAGAAAATCATCTAATTTCTTAAACTGATATCCTAGAAGAATTACAAACTTTGATTTTGCTTTAGAAGTGTAACAAATGCTTGTACAGGGGGCGATCGGAGCACAATGCTTTCCCTTCACCCTGCTGCATATATGTTCATGCTGCTCGACATTCATTTATAAAAATGTAACTGGAGGGGCAAGGACACAGCCAGAACTCTTTCTATGGTACAAGGACAGATAGATATTACATTTCAGCTCGAGAGACAAAAAGAAAATACAAAGGCAGGAGAGTTTGCTAAATATTTGCTTCCTTTCGGAGCACTGCGAAGTTTTCTTTTGCTGGTTGACTGAATTCCTGTCGCTGAACAAAACCTGGCTGTGTCTGACGAAACTGCAGTGATGCTGAAGGCACGGTGTCCCACACTGTCCCACAGTGTCTTGGGTGCCTAGAAAGAACACGGCCAATGAAGAACCCCCAGAAGTATTGTTCTCACTTAGGTTAATTTGGAGCGGACAGGTGTTCCCTGACTGACCTTTTCCTTCCAGAGGACACCAGACAAATAATACAAAGAGAAAACCAAAAATGGTTTTGTTTAACCATATTCAAAAACCAATGACTGGAACAGACTTGGGGCAGCAGAGTAGGAAGTGACATTGGTTTCCTTTGGACACGGGCTGCCCACTGGTAGTAAGCAGGTGATGTGGAAATTTTAGGGGGCAGCACTCACTCCTCTGACTCTCTTTCAACACCTACTATGTGCCTGGCACTGCTCAAGATGAAGGCAGGGCAGTGGTGGAGAGTAGGAAGCAATAAAGGAAACCATGTCAACATAATTTTGGATTATGAAGGAAACAAAAAAAATGATGGGCTAGAGTGAAGGGGCAGAGAGAGGAGAGGCAATTACAGATACGATAGTCTGTCACATGCAAAAAGAACCAGCCACGCGAGGAGCCAGAAGAGCAGTCCAAGCAGAGGGCACAGCAAAGGCAAGCCATGGGGGAAGAAGGAACAGAAAATCCTCACTCACTCACAGCACCGAGGAAAAGGGGTTTTGTTGCTTTGCTGTTTTGATGATTGAGTTTCTATGGACAGCTAAGAAACAGAAAAACAATAGCATATAATAACAAGTACAGAAGAGGTTAACTAAATGTATTTACTTTTTAAATCAATCTCTTACTTCAGACATTTTCTGGAGAGAGAGAAGACGACTTTATTATTCTTTTTGTTTTTTTGCAGGGGCTGAATATAACATTTGGCTTCATCTGTCCTTTGAGTGCTCAGGAAAATGCTGTGACAGAGGCATGAGAGGTCCACACTTTTACTCCTGATTTAGATGATTTTCTGAAACATACCCCCCGAAAGCATGTTGTTAAGCTACCTCAGGTCCACTCTTGAAACTTTTCTGACTTTATCTTTCCTAGAGAAGCCTTCTCCCAGCATCAGCTAGATGTTGACTTAAACTGACCCGGGATGGCAACCACACAGATCCCCATGCATAGAGTGGACTGCACCCAGGGCTTTGATGGAGAAAGACTCCCCAGGCAGCTACTGATCTAGGATGCTAATTAGGCAAGTTTACTTGATGCCGGATGACAAAGCTCTTCACAAGGGAAAGACCACCTTGCTTGTGTGTCAGGGCAAGGTACCCTCAGAGACTATCAAGCTCTGGACAGTGTTAGAGGCACAGCAGGGTGGAATCCTTGGCATCTCTGGTCATTCCTTCTAAATCTTCATTGATTAAGCTTTTGTCTACATGCGGGATCAAACAGCCTTTCTTCTGCCTGATTGATTTTGATTTTTCAATACATCATAATAAACAATTGCCAAACAATCAATTGGATCACTGCACAGCCAATTCAATTTGATCACCAAGATCACATCTGGTTATTTTACTCATTTGAATGACCAAACAGGATCAACCGTGAAGAAATTTTGGCTCTTCAGCAATCAGTTAATCTCATAAACTTCTAAACAAGAACCTGATGAAACACAGTCAAGTTGCGATGTGTATATATAGGTATGGCTTATATGATGAGTAAAACACAAATTTATAAAAACCACACCAGAAATCTATTTTTCTCATTGCATCATTGAAATAGATCAAACTGTAATGTATTCAGATTTAACTCTCTCGTGCTTAGATAGGAGAGTCTCTCGCTACTTTCAGCTTCTGTTTCTGAAAAGTTTTACATAAATCAAATTTTTGCAAATCAAATCCTATTTTAAATACATTAACAGAAGTTACTGCTTAAATTATGAATCTGTTTATAACCAATGAATTCCCCTCAAACATGTCTCTGGTGTAGAGCTGGAATTTCATATACCAGGTTTTGCTTAAGAGTGAGGTTTTGTTGCAAAATTCTGTGCTTCCCAGATAATCTGTAACAATTTTTAGTAAACTTAAATTTATAGTCAGACTCATTTATGGAAAAATGCATGAAAGCCATGTTTCTCTATTTAAAAGAAGTGAGAGGGGACAGCTTGTTTTTTCCTAATCTGGTAAGTTGGAACCAGAAGGGGGAAATGTAAATATGAGTTCTCTGTCACGCATAGCACCTTTTGTGAGGAGTTTGATTAAACATGATTGAAAAGAATATACTCACGCGCATTGCCTAAGACGGCATTTTCTTAAATGTCAAAGTAAAGTTAAAGTCAAGTAAACATGATTTATGTCCCTCTTCCTAGTACCCATAATCTTGTTGTCCACCTAAATCTTTCTGACACACTCTCTCCAGGTTACCCGGATCTTTGTCACATCTCCCAGAATCCAGGCCCTCTCCTTTCTCACACTTTCACAACAATCTGCCTCTTGCTGTCCTACGTAAAGAAGCAACCTTTTTTTTTTTTAACGTATTTTATATCAAATAGATAAATGGATTCTTTGAGGGGAAAGTATTCAATATTTACATACATATGTAAATAAGTTGTATACATACCGTTCTACTGATGTTTCACTAATCTCACAAAAGGGAACAAAATGGATTCAGAAGACACGGGGAACTTTAAAGAATCGGCACCATTAGCAAAAATCTTAAATGAATGAATAGAAAACATGGACAATTTTAGTCACTAAGAATGTGAACTGTAATGGGGCTGGCCCCGTGGCCGAGTGGTTAAGTTCGCGTGCTCTGCTGCAGGCGGCCCAGTGTTTCGTTGGTTCGAATCCTGGGCGCGGACATGGCACTGCTCATCAGACCACGCTGAGGCAGCGTCCCACATGCCACAACTAGAAGAACCCACAACAAAGAATACACAACTATGTACCGGGGGGCTTTGGGGAGAAAAAGGAAAAAATAAAATCTTTAAAAAAAAAAAAAAAAAAAAAAAAAAGAATGTGAACTGTAAGGAACAAGGAAATCCAGTTTCTGATTATTTTGCGTTTGTATTTTACACTCAGGGTCCCTGTTCACTTCAGACTTTCCTGAAGAGATCTGTGTCCCCACGGCCTCTCCGCAGTCTACTGAAGTGGGCTTCAAAAACCACCTTAGCTACCTACACTCCCAGTTTCCCATATAGTTTTAGAGAAAGGGAATCTAACACGGAATTTTTAAATGTATACTTGAAAATGCTTATTGCAAAAGTTTCATAATTATACTTTAATTCAACCAATGTTAAAACTACTATCTGCATTCTCTTGGAATTAAAATGTTAAAATGTTATTTTCCCACATGACTAAGCTAGTTTGAAGTTGAAAAAGAACAAAAATGCATTTGAAACCACTGACATTTTTTTCATTTGGTTTTTTCCAAATTTAAAGGAATGAAAAACTACATTGATTTTAAGTTTTTAGTAAAATTTTCTCTCAGATTAAAAAGAGAAATTTACTAATCTGAATGTAGGTTGGGATTTTTCTAAACGGTTGAGTTAGAAACCAAAACTCCTAAAAATAGGAGTTTATGATGGAAATGACAGCATTTTAACTATAAAGGCATGAGTGGTGTCCTTTTACAGATGCCTAAATCAAACACAGAGAAAAGTGACATGTTGCCAGGACATTGAGTGCACTTTCCTTTAATCGCCATATATAGTTAATAGCCTGACCTTCTTTTTCCCCCCAGAAAATAAATTACAAAGATGCAAGCAAGTCAATTACATAATATCTTCCCATGCAACATATCAAAAACAATGAATTTAATCATTCTGTGGTCTGGGTTGAATTCAACACTGAAATCGTTTTTATTGAACGATACAGCAACAAAGAATTTCAGATTTACAGATGACCATCTTTGAAGTTGGATGGAACCCTGGCCATACTCTGATTGTCTGATACTGAAAAAGGACCAAGTACGGAATACACTATTCCAGCCAGAGTTTGGGCTGATCTGGGAAACTCGAGAGAGGTACTGTGAAGGAATTAGAGATAAGAGTATGACTGGATAGGTCATTTGATCTTGCTTCTGAGACTAAACTTAAAAACCTCTGTTTCGGATTAAGCAGCACTTCATTGCTTTCCTTTTTCTTTTTCTCTTAACACAAAAATACTTCTACAGATGAACAAAAAACAATCAGAACGGAAGTAACAGAATTATACAGTATGAATTATATCTACGTAGGTCCAGAAGATTCCTGAAATTTGAATAATCCAAGATTTACTCAAAATATTGACACTAAGAAGTATCAAACCAAACTCGGGGAGCACACGGTGGTCTTCCCACAATGCGTGTGATCAGAAACAGCAGCGATCCTACCCCAGAAGAGACCATAAAACAGGAAAGAAATTGCCTCACAGTTTTAGAAATCGAGCTATCCCATTAGCCTAAATATATAGTCAACACTGCATGGCTTTCATCATTTTCAAACATCATACTGCACAAAATTGTACAGAGAATATTTTGACTGTACATCTGACATTTAAAAACTTAGGAGCGACGGCAGCAACACTGTTGCCTGTTGCTTTAACTTCCATCATCAAGATAACAGCATCAAATAAATTCAAAAGTCAGGCGATTTGAATATAAATCTTGAGTCATAAGGTTACCACTCCTTAAATAGGTACTTTTATCATATTAGATTGCATTTTGATGGTATTTTCTAGGTAGAAGGTCTCTGGTATGTATTTAGTTATGGCACGGAATATTTTTCTTGTGTTTTCTTATACAGCTTAGGATATTCAAAATTAAATATAACTATGCTTTTGTTCACAGACTAATTTTATGTCTTATTCTTCATTAGTATTCAAAATATTAACTGCTAATGATTGAAAAATTCAAGTTATTAAAAAATAAATGTAAAAAATGAAACCTTTGAGAGTAGATGAACAAAACAGTACTTAAATACACAATTTTGGGAAATTGTTAACACACAGACTACTATAACAAGTAAAAGACAGTGCAAATATGGTAGTATTACCTTCATTTTGAAATATATAAGAATATTTTTAAATAAATTTTAAATGTAGTTAGACGAAGCGAAACGAATGATACACCAAGCTACACTGAAGGAGGAGTAACTGTATCGAGTTTAAAAACTAATTCTTGAAAAACAAAACTGGTAAACATCGAAAATTTTGCTCTTTTAACTTTAGAAATAGACCACTCCACTTTAAATTTATTTATATTACACAGTTGTTTAATTTTCAATTATTTTGACTACCATTCATTCTTTCACAATTAATGCTGAACTTTATAAGCAAGAGTTCGGACTAAAAATAAAAGACCTTGCCGCTTGTAATGACCTAAATTCATCGTACCTTGAATAGTTTTTGAAAATGAAATTCTTAGCGATTAGAAAGCCAGCCTAAGGCAAATCTTTTTTGGTTAAATTTAATCAAAATTACCAAACCAAACCAAACCAACAAACAAAAATACACATACGTGCAAAATCCATGTTATTAAAGAGGCCGAAGATTAGCTGAAACAACCAACTAAAGAAATGAACAAAAGCAGGGAGCAGAGCTGTGCTGGCACCTAGTGGAGAAGGTCGTAGGAGAGTCATTTACCTTGGATCGCAAAGGCATTTGGGGAAAAGAACACATTTTAATTATTGTAATCTATGCTTTCTATCAACACATCTGAAAAGACAGATGAAAAGTATGTGGGGTAATTCATCCTAAGTATGCAACCAAATGTTATGATTCTAATTTTCTGCAAGGACACAAAGAAAATTTGGAGGGGGTATGGGTGGTGGAGGGGAACGAGACCAGGTGTGGTGAAAAATATAACATAGTAAAAACAAGGATTGTGCAATTTTCTTTTCCCTTGGTATGTTCTGCCAAACCTGGTCACACTAGTCTATTCTCCATCAAGCAAAGAATTTTTATGAAATCAACTGACAGGCTGTTTGTGAGGTTCTGTCTGTATCTGGGACATAAGTCACCAAATACTACTTACACACACCTCTTAACATTAAATTTGGAATTTTCACATGTCAATATTATGTGCAGAGGTATAGTCATTTTTCCTTCACAGCATTTTTAGTAGAAGGACAAATTTAAATGAGCCCTGCCTCCCCACCTCTGGGGAGTGGGGACAGGTGTGGTCCTGGTGGAGGGACCCTCCCTCAGAAGGCAACGAGTCCCCAATTCGATGAGATCGAGCAAAGGCGGAATTACTACTCCTTGAGTCAAACGTCAGTTCAGTTCCCCAAGGGACCTCAAGGGTCTCTTCCAATTGTGGGATTCTATGATTTCCTGAAGAAAAGCTTTTATTATATTTTTCTACATTAGGAAATGGATTTTAGTTCACTGTCGCTGTGAGTGCTCTAAGGAGTACATCTACAGTTGGTGACTATTTTATGATGGAGACACAGAAGGGGAAAATCATACTAGGACCAAACCAAGACCAAGATGTCCCCGTGGTAAGTTAGGAGTCAAGTTTTCCATAAACACATGCTGACTTCGGTTACTAAAATGCAAGTACCCCATATTTACTCTAGGTCTGCTCTGCTTTATCAGGCAACCACATTGTTTAGATATCTGGTTTAATTTTTAATACATGACGAGAGAGGTTCATATACACATTTTTTCCTATTAATAACCTTTTCCTTGTCTTTAATCATGGAGAGCAAGCTGTTTTCATCCTTTCATATTAACCTCATCTCTCACACTAATCATGTGCTTTACTGATGCTCAACTTTAAAAACCAGCATTTTAGCTAATATCATTGGGTTTGTTTCATATCACATTTTAGATATGTGGAAGTTTATTTCAGAGCACGTGAATGAACTGTTCCAAGTATCACACTATTGGAGGGCCGTTTCTGCCCCTTTAGGTTCCCGCTGTGCTGCAATGTGAGAAAACGAGATCAACTGCCCCTTGTGACTTTGGTTCTTGTGAAACTGCAGAGAACTGTGAGAGAACTCACGCTCACAGCAGCATAACCCTCTGGGCTCCACACAGCTTACACAGTACCTCCCCTGAAAGCTCTACCATGTCAGGTCAGAACAGTTCCTCAAAACTTAGAAACAGAACAGGATTCACATCCTAGACACCTGACCATGCCTTCCAGTTGGCAAGAATCTTTGGCTGACTAGGAAACCTCCTAGTAGCAAGTTTGATTAATTGATTGAGAAAAGATATACTAACCGACTTTTTATATTGTTTGAAGTTACCACTACTAAATTTATAAGAGAAGAAATAAAAGAGGAAAAAATTAACTGATGGGTCAGAGTTCAGTTGCAAGAAAAGGCTTCCTTCACGAGATACCCCAATTCTTTCTGAAATCCCAAATTTATATAAATACAACCTCTCCCCTAATCCCAACTATATCACAGAGAAATAGTCTTGTGTCCACCTCTGTACTTCTGCAAGTGACCATGCTGGAGAGTCACCAGGGGTAAAGAATTCTGCTCCCCACAGGCCAGTTGTCAGGATCATGTTCTGAAACTTGTCCACATGTGGGACGCTGGCCCAGCATGCTGTGGGACAAGGACAAGGATGAACCAGAGCCAGAGCCTGCCATTAGTGGGAGGAGGAAAACATGTGGACAAGTAGCAGAAAAAAAGCAATAGCCACAGGGGGCTCAGATAGACTGTTATGGCAATTCACAGGAAGGCAATTGCCGTCAGCTCAGGTGTCAAGGTGGTGATGATGGTATCAGAAGGAGGAAGCTGGGCCTTGAGACATGGTTAGAACTTGGGAAACCACAATGGGAGAAGAGCAAACTGTGTACGAGGAAACACTGCAGATGGTGACAGGCTCTCCTTTCCCCCTCAGCCAGA